ATGATGCAACTGTTGCTTTAATTGCCAATCTAGACTCTACTGTGGCTCATAGGGCACATAGCTATGTAAGACTGGTGATTTCTTTTCCACAATCACAAACAGCAGAGCACCTCACTGCACTATGGGATGGTGTTTTCAGGACAGTTCCAGCTTGATTTGTTTCCATGTCCTATGACTTAAAGACATAACTACTTCAGCTATCATTCAAATCTGGAGGGAAGCTAAGAGGGTGGCAGAGCCAGTAGTATTTGATGGTCAATGGGATCTTACTGGCCAACAACAGCAAGTGACATAGTCCATTTCTGGCACTGGGATTTCTATTTGTTAGCTGAAGGTTTTTGGTAGGGACCCTATTACCTGATAAAACATTCTACCAGTCTTATCAGAAAAGCAATGCTTGTTTTGCTTCAAGGTGCTGAAAATTTTCAGACCATCATATATGTGTGCATACAAATGCAAACTCATAAACACACATACAAAAATGGGGAAGACCACCTTGTCCCTGAGAAGTCACTCCAATGACGGATAAGCTTACAGTCCTATTAACAGATGATTGACAAGATGTGTGTGTTTATTTAACTGCTAAGATTACAGGTGAGTAGGGCTGGTCAATGCTGTTAGTGTCTCTTGCTCAGCCTCCTAATTCCCACATCTATTAAAGACCCTATAAGGCAGAAGTCAGTCCTTAAATACTGTAACCTGTCAGTGTGGAAACAATCTCCACATTAAACTCTCTTGCATACCCAATGCTGTGAATTATCATAAGAGATAATGTGTATTTTACCTTCCGTGTGTGCCATATAGTGATGTAAATGATTTATTTGTATAACTCGCTCCACAGAATGACCTGACAAGGCAGGCTCCATCGCTGTCCTCACACACTACTCATGGGTTAACCAACAGTGAAGAATCCAGAGATAAGTTACATAGCTCAGGAATGATGGAGCTGGGATATTGGCCCACATCCCTGACTATACAGTGTGAGATGTTGCCTATAAGAGACACTTCATGACCTCAAATATGAGGTTGGATAAAAAGCAGTTGACAAATAAATATTACTTTATGGGCAAATGAACTATTCTAAAGATATTTGACAAATTCATTGAATTCTGGTGATTGGAAGACTGATACTATATCTCTCCGCAAGAAACCCTGAACAAGAGTGATAAGTCTTTTTGAGAAAAAATTTTGGAAACTGTTTAAAGTTGTTCTGAAGATTGGTTGCTAACTACTGTTGCACCACAGTACTAACTGTGTTTAGAGAGAGATGAGTCAGGGGCTCCTAGAAGAGATTTGAGAATTTCTTAGTGGTAAAGCTGGTGGAATAAGAAAGTCATGAGCCACATTGTGGATGCTGGGAAATAAATCTGGTTCCTGTGCAAGAGCGGCCAGTGCTCTTAACCACTAAATCATCTCTCCAGTCCTCTATTTACTTATTCATTTATTCATTATCTAATTTATCTATTATTTAGACACATATGCCCCTATTTGGAAGAGATTATATGCAAAGTAAACCTTCTCCCCTACAGTCAGTCCTTATCTTCATCCCACAGTGAGGTGTTTAATGCTTTGCTTGTCTTTGTGATCTTATAAAGGACCTACAATAACTCTAAAGGATTTGCTCATAACTGGTCACTTTTTGTCATGTCAGGATGTCAATCAACATGACAGCTCTTTTGAAGATTCTTTTTCTTCTACTTGATGGTGAAAGTGAAGTGGGGAGTTCTTCCAATGTGGATTTTTAGTGCACAGGACTTAATTCTCAGTTGTTGTTATAAGTACTGATTGAATAGATATTTGTTAAGTACGTGCCACATGGAATGACATGACAGCACACAGAATGAGCAGAACAGGACCTTCCCTTGTGGGAGAAGATGGCCAGGAGATGAAGATCATCACTCTATGACATCTGTAGAAATTGTTCAAGAACTGAGCAGATCCTGTCTTTTAGGGTGATGGTCTTTGGCTTTTCTCTCCACATCTGTTGAGCCCAGTCCTTCTCTTCCACTCTGGGGTAGGTTGAGCTGAATTATATTGATGAACTGAAATTTCCTCTAGAATGCTATGTCTTGACAAACATAGCTCTTAATTTTCCAATCTGGAATTCAGTTCTGGAAAGATCAGCCCGAGAACTGAGCTAAGGTGAGTTCAGAAAGGACATCTTACCCACATAAGGTAGATGCCCTGTACCTGCCTTTTATGGCATGAAGATTAGTAGCAACATCAGATTTAAAGAGTACTACACAGCAGAAAATATAACAACATCCTGAAATTTGCAGGCAAAGGCAAATGGATCTAGAAAATATCAAATTGAGTGAGATAACCCAGACCCAGAAAGACAAATATCATATGTAATCACTCATAAGTGGTTTTTAGACATAAAACAAAGAAAACCAGCCTACAAATCACAATCACAGAGAACATAGACAACAATGAGGACCATAAGAGAGACATACATGGATCTAATCTACATGGCAAGTAGAAAAAGACAAGATTTTCTGAGTAAATTGGGAGCATGGACCATAAGAGAGGGTTGAAGGAGAGGGGAGAGGAAGGGAAGGAAGTAGAGAAAAATGTATAGCTCAATGAAATTAATCAAAAAATAAATTTCCAATAGTCAGATGGGAATCTCAAGATGCCCCGGTGGTGTGTTTTCCTCCTGGAAGGCACCTTTATATTGGGGTCACTTGACTGAGGGCGAACTGTACCATCCACTCACTGGCTGCTGTCAACTCAGACCTCTCTCTATGGCAGGGTGAAGAAAGATCTCCAAGGTGATTCCATAGATTGTGTCATCCATGGCCATACCAGGGACAGACACAGTAGGTTTGAATGGCATCTTTTTTAGCCAGCTCATGCAATGGTGACATTTCCACACACGGCATCCTATATTTCTTCTCGCAGTTTGTAATATTTATTACAAACCAACAGCTTCTCACATTTCATTATATTTATTGATCCTGGTATGTGTTTAAAAAAAAAAAAACTATGACGTTATCTTCTCCTGGGAGGGAGATGAGCTCAAGAGAATGTTCTATGAGCATTTACGCAGTGATGATGGTCAATGATGGAGCGAGGGACGTTCTCTTCAGTGGTGTAGCCCCTGATATGTGCACATGCTGCTGTAAGCAAACCACAACTTACACTCCTATAAACAACCCCACTGAAGGGCACTAGGTCACACAGAGCATGAAAACAGAGGAGAGGCTTCCTGGAGGGGAGGAAGGAGACATATAGGGTTGGCAGAGGGGCAAGTAAGGATAACGGGGTGAATGCAATCAAAATATATCAAATACATGTAAAAAAAAAAGCATGTGGTGGAATCCCATTATCATGTATAATTGATATATGCTAATAAAACCATTAAAATGAAAATCAAAGGTTTGTTGTGTTTATCCCTAACCTTCAATACTTTAAAGGCTAGTGTTCTTATTCCTGCTATGGTTAAGCAGCAAGAACCAAAGAGCATGTGTGTGTAGACTCCATGTTTAATTGCTTGGTTAATGAGTTGCATGAACCTTGACCATTCAGGTAGGTGGCGATGTGTGCCTGGTGTGGATGCGGATTCATCTTCCAAGTTTCATTTGTTTTAACAGAGTGGAGTTGTGAGATTAGGCTAGAAAAGGAGCCATGGGAAAGGGCACTGTGTCCTTGCACAGAGTGAGTGACAAGGAAGTAGCCTTCATGACAAACGCTCACCATGCCTGGGTTTCAGTAGTTAGGGTTGTGAAGTTAACTACTACTTTTTAATCTTACCTCCTCAAATAGTTTGTCGGCCAACTAACCATCTCAGCGGCTTAAGTCTCGCCTTCTGCAAATTGAGAGCAACCTGATAAATAGAGAAAGAGTTTATTTATTGAAAATACTCCTTTCCCTTTGAGGCTGTCATGATCATCCAGAGGGCAAACTGTGATGGCAAATACTGCCCTGGGCAAAACCCACAGGGGGATACATTAATTGACATGCATTCTAGATTTGAAAGGCTGTAACTGAATTTCCTTAGATTTATTGAAAGTGAATCCCATTAACTTTCTAACTTCTGGATCATTGTGTTTCTGAAAGGATGGCAAAATGACAACAAAGGCAGCCTTGACTTTGGGAAACGCTGTTTAGTGGGAGAACTCCTTGATTGCCAACCTCGTCTGTGGGCACTGAACCGTGAATGCGTTTCACAACCAGCTAAAGGACAGGGAGGGAGGACTCCCACTTTAAGCACCACAACTTCTCTGTTGAGACTCTTAACTGTCAGGACTCTGGCTGCCCAATGACTCTGCTTTTGTTTGAGTACAGATTCTATTACTGAAGAAAGAAGTCTTGATTTCCAATCTCACTAACTTGGGAATATTCCTCCATCTGTGATTATGACTTTATATTGTTAATCTACTGTTATTTTTAGCCACACAGAATGTTTTCCCCCAGAATAATAAAAAAATAAAGATAATTTGGGTTGTTTGTGTAACCACTTAACTCTTAGCTGAAAGTCATTAAGCTTTCTTCCTGGGATTCACTGAATGATTTGCATATAGCACTTGCAGTGTGACTTGCTTGGGAGCGTTGGCAATTTTGGATGGGGGAGCTTGGCACTGGCTTTATAGGCTTGTGTATTTTCATTGAACCATCTGGCTTGAAACCATGTGTGGAGGGAAGGCTCCCCCCGAGAAAAGTAACGTTAAGTTAGGTGAAGTGTCCAGCTGCGATTTTACACTGGACAAATGTGAGTCAGCATACACCGAGCCCCGCTGGTGAATTCCGTCCACACAGCAAGAATGTGGTTCAGGGCCATGCCGTGTGAAGAGCTTGGAGAGTACCATTGATTCAGGAGAACTCTTGCTCACCCTATTCTAGGGTCCCTTGATCTGGTGTTGCTTTCCCCTGCCCCCACCTTTGAAGTTGTCTGATTAGCAACGTCTGGTAGGAGCTGTTAAGGTTGTTTTCTTTGAAGGAAGCCTGTGGGAGCAGCAATTAAATGTGCTGTATCTTTTCTGTTATTGTTGTTGTAGCAAAACCATTTGAAAATGGACAGTATTTGGACATTTATGGAATCACCAGGGACCAGGCTGGGGAGTACGAGTGCAGCGCCCAGAACGACGTCTCGTTCCCCGACGTGAAGAAAGTCAGAGTGGTCGTGAACTGTAAGTCTCTCCCGCTTATCGCCATAGCAACTGGGGAATGTCTGAGATTGCTGTGACTGCTTTACTTCACGGTGTCCTCCTGGTGACTGTCACTTACCTAGGCCAGACATCCGCACAGAAATGGCCTCAGCAGATCCCAGCCATGGTTTGGATGCTGTGCAGACTGCAGTCGTCCAGGGTCGTCTTAGCGCCCATCACTCTTCGTGGCCTCATTCTTGTCTCTAAAGCACTGCACACACATGCTTTGCCCTCCTCCTGGCTCTCACTTCCTGGACACCAGTCCTGAGCTCCAGGGTCCAGTACTTGATCTGACCTGGTAGGCACAGGGAGGAAGCCTTTCACACAAAGACAAGAGTAGGGTTGTAAGCCTTGGTCAGGTGGATATGGAATTCTATTTTGCTTGGAAATACTGGGGAAATTGGCAAATTATTTTCCCACAAATGTTATCATTGTGAAGGTATATATGAGCTGGATGTACACAGTCACCAACACTGTGACACCACATGTTTTTTCAAAATGGAAAATTAAAACCAGCAGCTGTAAGTACTCTTGACCTGTGAGTAAAGGTATCTTTTCTTCTCCACAATATACCCTAAGTCTTTCTTTCAGGTTTGTTTTTAATTATTTAAATTTTCAAAGAAAGTACTTTGAGGATAAGCGCTTCTTAACCAAAATACGCAAGGTTTATCTTCTATCTGTTTTCACTCCATTTATGTACTTTCCTTCATATGACCATGTTGTAATAAGATTGGCGGGCTGGGCTGTGTCCCGCCACCCGGCTAGCTTTACCCGAAATAATTACACGGAAACTGTATTCTTTTAAACACTGCCTGACCCATTAGTTACAGCCTCTTATTGGCTAGCTCTTACATATTGACCTAACCCATTTCTAATAATCTGTGTAGCCCATGAGGTGGCTTACCAGGGAAGATCTGAACCTGCTGCTGTGTCGGGAGTGAGAATCATGGTGACTCCTTGACTCAGCTTCTTTCCCCCAGTATTCTGTTTTGTTTACTCCACCTACCTAATTTTATGTCCTATCAAAGGGCCAAGGCAGTCTCTTTATTTAACCAATGAAATTAACACAAAACAGAAGCCTCTCCCCCATCATGACCATTGGTAATGTCTGTGTAGCATTGCCAACCAGATCACATGGAACTGTTCTAAACATATCTATAAACACTAATGCCAACCAGCAGTTACTCTATGTGAACAGGACTCTTTCAGTCTCGTGAAGCCAATGCTAACTCTCTTAAACACTCTTGGCATCGAGCTGCCCACCAGAATAAACCGTTGCCATTAGCCAGCATTTGTCAGCCATTAATCTGCACACTTTGGGTGAAATACCTCACTGAGACTGAGCAAGTGAACACCTGACCAGCAGGTAGTTTCTGGAGGAAATGTTCAGAATTCTGTGAAGAGAAAAAGTAGAGCCATTGGAGCAGGCCTTGAGGAGCTCACAACTTCCAGCACCACCTCACCCTAGCTGAATCAGCATCCCATGGCTGTTGCCATGGAGGTCCTAGATTCTTAGGACTCTTATTACAGAAGATTCCCACTGCCTTCCAGGACTTTGATTGCAGAGAGTTGTTGTTTAATCCCTCTGAAATCCAGGCGTGGAAGACAACAAACCAGACAAGAGATCCTGGTGATTAAGTCAGCAGCTGTATTTGCTGATTTGATTTTTTTCAGGGTTGGGATGAAAGAGACAAGTAAGGAGTGAGCACGAAGAAATGAAAATACAGTCAAAACCTGTCAATGAAGAAACACTGAGCCCTCAATGCATCCTCTGGTCCACCTGGTCTTTGAAAGGATGTCTCTGATGAGGATGTGGAAGGCCGGTGGCTATGTGGAGTAGGGCGATCCCATCCGCTGGGATAATCTCCCCCTTTCTCCTCACACAGTCCTGTCTGTCCCACCTTACCTCCAGTTCATTGTAACTCAACTCTTCTATTCTTCTCTATTTTTTTCCTAGACAAATAGAAACTTTAGGCCTAGAGAGAAACTAAACTATGTTACCCTCTGAAAGTCTGTGTGGGAAAAAGGATCCAGCCCATGCAAAAGAGCAGATATGGGCACTCAGGAGTCATAACTCAGAGTTGAGGGTGTCTGACAGCTTCATGGGTGCTGGAGGAAGCAGAAACCAAAGTCAATTTCTTCCCCACCACACTATGATAGGAGGATTATTGGCAATGCCTGTCATTTGCCCCAGTTCTGGTGACCACCACTAACTGGAAGACTGGGTTGTTACTAAGCACACAGCGCTTCATGTCACAGTCCAAGAAACTGGATTTAGGATACAGGATTGATCACAGGTCACCAACAAACCCCTCCCATGCTCCACGGGTCATGTCCTTATTACACCAGACTGCAAGCAGGTCTACCCTTCACTCCGCAGAGACAGCAACATTGTGTCTAGATTATATGGTTACAGGAAGTATATTATAAACCAGCATTCTGCCCTTAATGCATAAAGAAGTGACAGGGCCCATAAAAAGCCATCTTCCTATGCATAAGATGGAAGTGGGAAAGTTTGTACAAAAATCCACAGGCTGAAGGAAGCTGAGTCAGTGTGTGAAGGATCTTGGAACAGCTGGGAGGAAAAAAAAAACCTTTGATCACATAAAATAGTCACATCAGGATGGAAACAGAGAACTGGGAAGGAAGATGGGGAACTTTTTAATTAGTAACAAAAATTCCTTTAAAATAGCTAATTTAACAGTGATATATTTATATCACTTTTTACTAAGGAAATTCTTTATACCTCTCACTTTGAAGTACACATATCAATAGTCTTTTTAACATATTTTTATTGATTTATAAAGCATTAAATACAAAGTAAACTAAATTTCCATGTGACTTGTTTGTGCATCCTTGGTTTTGGGTGACCCTGCTCAGCCCCCTCATTATCATCCCATTCCTTAAGGCATCATTTTCCCCTAACACTTTTTACCAACTTCTGATAATCCAGTAAAACACATAAATATAAAGAGCTGAAGGTATGATCCACGGATATGAGAGAATATGGGACATTTATTTTCTGCTTTCAGCATTTACCCAAAAAGGCATTTTTCTTTATCCCTTATAAATAAAATCCCATTGTGTACCTAAGCTACATTTTCAAAATCCACTCATGGGTCAATGGACCTCAAGGCTGACTCTGTGTCCTTGCTCTTATGAACAGAGCAGCAGCGAGCAATGGAGTGTCTCTCACATTCGACCAAGAATACTTGGGCATGGGCCAAAGTGTGGGGTGGCTGGGTCACACATCAACCTGTTTTTAGCTTTTGAGGGGCCTCTGCACTGAATCCCACAGCAGGGACGGGAAACAGTTTACACTCACGGGAGTGTGGATAAGGGATCCTCTTTCCGGTATCCTTGCTGCCGTTGCGAAGTTTGATCTTTTAGCTCTCTCTAAATCATCGTTTCCGTCGCTCAGATGTTTGCCAATGTCCCATGAACAAGGTGCTTCACCTCGGTTTGGTTGAATTTCATTATTTTCTGAGCCAGCGTTGCACAGATCTGCATGCCGTCTGAGGTGCAGGTGTGCACAGTAATCATATGTGCACTGTGTCTCTTGGTTGTGATAAAGTTCCAAAGTAGTAATCTTGTGAAATTGTCCCTTCAAATGCCAAGGCCCGACAGCTGCCTGTGGATTTTACTGAGCTGACTTCACACAGAACAGCAGCCAAAGCCGCCCATTTCACAAAATCGCAGAACCAGCAGAGCTGTATGGCAGGCAGACTTAGAAACACATACTCCTGACGAGAGGCAGAGGCCTCTAGAAGCATGGGCAGCGGTGCCCTCTCATGCATGATTGTTCACACACATTGGCCGTGCGGGAGGAGTTCTGCATACACACATTAAGCACACACACACACGCAGTGACACCCTGGACACACACATAACTGCACGTGTGCACTGAACACCACTGGGGATGCAGGGAGAGTGGAGACACTGTTAACCTAGGAGTAGCTATGTGGACAGGTTTGTTGTCTTTTTGCCATTTGTATTCCATTCTCACTCACAGCTTAGCAAGTTCCAGGCCAGGGTTTACTAATTATGAAGAAGAAGGCTGATTGAATTTCAGAGAGCCCATGGGTTGACCTGAAGGAGGAAAGCAGGAAGCCAGGGAAGCTCTGGCCAGGAGAAGAAAAAACAGAATGTGGAAAACAGCAGAGTGGACCCTTTAAATAGAGAGGAGTCAAGGTGGATATTGCAATGGAAGTTGGTGAAAAATAGCTGGGTCTCAGATCTCAGGGTGCAGAAGGCCAAAACCTGCCATTCACTGGCGATGCTGGTACTGAGTGGCAAGGGCAGGAATGGCCAAATCTCTTTCCTTCTGGAGGGCATCTTCTAGTGGAGAGTGTCTTGGAAATGTGGTCCTCACAGTCCAGTAGAGTTCATAGAATTTTATTGCGATTGAACATAATCAGATAAATTGCCTTCCCATGACCAACTGACCTCCAACCCCGTAGGAAAGGTTTTTTTCCTCTATCTAAGTCTCAAATTCCATTTCTAGGAAATCAAGGACATGTATTTTGTATGTGTTGTAATTAGTAGTTCATGTTTCATGCATACAAAACTGATAAGAATAAATATGTACATATGAAATTATGTGCATATTTTGAAAATAAGAGTTTATCTGTAGGTGGGTGACAGTTATGTAGCTTGGTCTGTTCATGAAACTCCTAGCAGTGGGACCAGGACCTGTCCTGGTACATGAGCTGGCTTTTTGGAACCTATTTCCTATGGTGGGATGCCTTCCTCAACCTTGATACAGTGCGAGGAGCTTGGTCCTGCCTCAGCTTGATATGCCATGCTTTGTTGACTCCCATGGGGGAGGGCTTCCCCTATCTGAATGTCAGAGAAGGAATGGATGTGGGGGTAGAAGGGAGGTGGGAGGAGGGAACAGGAGAAGAGGAGAGAGGGGAAACTGTGGTTGGGATGTAAAATAAATTAAAACTTAATTTTTAAAAAAAAGGAAAATGTGAAGTTGA